GGTGAAAGTTCCGGACCATCATCTATAGAACTTACTTGCTTGGCCAAGTCCTGAAAGCAAAAGGGGCCGAGACATGTGCTAGCTTATTTACGTGATATGTGTGCGTATAGTGGCCATTTCCACGTTCACACTATCAATCGTTGAACTTTATATGGTAAAGAGTCATAATTGCATAGAAATTGGTACCCCAAGATTATTCCCACTACCCCTATATATCCTCCAAACGAGCACGAAGTACATCATCACCAGCACTTAACTCATCGATCTCGGATTTGACATCCTTTGAAACCTGCCTCAAACCTTCCGTGAAGGTCTGTGCAGACCATTGCCGTGATGCCACCCTATCAGGCAACTTGGACGGGGCACTCATGTTGGGAAACACAAAACGCCTTTGACTGCTTTTTGAAGCCACACTGCTTTGGAAAACCTAAAAACTATCCAAGTCTAACCAAATGCAGGCATGAATTTGCCAATGGAAAGCAAACGACTGATTGATAAGTAGAAGAAAATCTTTTTGGACTTGCAATGATGCATGGTCCACGCGGCAAACCACGTATACTTTCAGGAAATTGATCGAATTAGTCTGGCTTTTCACAGACTATGGCTCAACTGGTCAAAGTTTGAGCCTTCGAACCCCATATGGATGCCACAGCTCCCCTTTTTCCAAACCCTAAAAAATGATGGTACAAACCTGGTTTTGCACCAGAAATTACGTACGGGAATTACGTATTTTTACGGGTAAATACGGGGTTCTTACGGCTACCTTACGGGTAGTACATTTACGGGTTGTGTGTTTTGGTTACATTTACGGGGTGATTACGGTTAAATACGGGATAATTACGGGTAAAATACGTAATTCTATCCATAACCCCATTGGAATCATAAAAAACAGCAAAAACATGCAAAAACATCATGTTTCCACCCCAAAGTCTTTACTAATTCCTAGAAACATATGATATTGAATTATAAATTCATCCAGGGAGGAGATTTGGAGGGAGCTGGAAGCATCACCCGGAAAAAGGGATCATAGCTTTGTAGTACTCTGGCAGTTTCAGGCACCTAGATCCCAGTAAATATTGGTTCACTTCTTTCAAATTAGCCTTGTCCCAACATTGGGACCAATCCATTTTTTGAAACATTGCCATCATGTGGCTGGTGGTTGCTGGCTCACCACTGCCACGGCTGGGAACCCCGCTCTTGTCGCTCACGAGGCGCTCTCGAAGTTGCACCAACTTCAATCCAAATCGATATGGATAGTGCCTGGGCTCAAACAGGTGGGCAGCAGTCTTGGTTTCACAAAGCAGGTTAAGGAACCCCCTTTGAAAATAACTCATACGATGTAAAATTTTCAGACTTCTTTGTAAACACTCAGGGATACCACTGTCTTTTGAAACCAATGGGAATCCATTTGCATCCTAAACCCAATCCAGTAAGTGGTAAATATCCTACTTCCACCCTTCAAAATTCTGTTCTGACTATCCAAGGGGTCAAGAGGTATAAATATATATTCAGTTGATGCCTAGGGCCTAGGGTTATTGCCAAGAACCCCCTACAAGTTGTTCAAATTTGTACCTTTCGGGTTAGCTGTACAGGCCAGCAGGTTCGCCCCAGAGAAAAAGAAATTGGTGGCCCAATTGAAGAATTATATGTGCAAGGGCCCAGGTAGTACACATTGGGATTAGTTGTGAGGCTCTATGTCTATGTTTGCTGCAGGTTCTTCGGATTTCTTGTGAATAGCAACCAATAAATACTTGCCAACCGTACCTTCTTCGAGTGGTGGGGTTGCAATGTCATTTGAGAAGCTCTATACCTTCTTTTCTTGGATTGGGGAGCAAGCAAGGCCATAGAATTAAAGGGCATGTTGCGCAAACCCTGGAAATGTCGATATTTGTCCATACTTTGCAGTCATCCCCAAGGAGAATAAAAAAGTGGATTCCAACAAAGAATTTAAATTTGTCCTAGGTAAGCCAATGTTGGATTCAACCGTTTACGGGGTATTACGGTATTGCATTGTCATTTTCCATTTTGGGGGTCACAAATTTCCAAAAGCATACATAACAATGCTGTCCCTTAAGAGGCTCCATTTTGGGATTGATTGGGCCGCCCCCCCAGAGGCTTCCAGTTGGGAAGCAGCGTCAAGAAAGCTAATCCACCAAGCACCGGAACATGCAACCTAGTGGCTCGGTGCCCTTCAAATGCTTGGTGCCAACAAAACGCCGCACCCCTTTGGAATCCACGTAGGTACGGCATGGTTTCTTGTCTTCATTAATTTCCTTTCTCCACCCGACCAAGCGGCCCAATGATAACTCACTAACCCAAGGTGAATTTGAAAACATCACATGCCTCTTTGGGCTATCACCACCGTAGTGGCGCATCCACCAGCAAGATTCGAAAACCTCAGAGGGCATAGCATTGAATGGCCCTTATAAGATGACAAAGCATATAAATGAAGTTATTTATGTGAGGGTGTTTTCAGTGAATGCCTAAAAAATCAAAAGAATATTCCCTCAACCACATGCTGTCTAGGATCCCTCATTTGGTAAGAGAGGAACCGAAACCGACCATACCATCTAAGGAGACTTTGGTATGGCTGCTCCAACAGCCATGTCCCTCCAACCGCTGTCACCAGAAGGCAAAGGCAAATGGTCCTGGCAGCCAGTGGATGAGAAGATAGAAGGGAACATATATATGCTTTAAACTTAATCCCTTTACACTTTTTTAATGAACTTTCATATCTGGTACAACGGGTTGTTTATTGTTCGTAAGTGTTTATTTCAAAGGAACCTATACTTTATACCAGTGACCGTGTAACCAACAAGAACAAAAATATGGTGCAGCTCAGATAGACCAATTTTGGCAGTCCTTGCAGCCATACAATTGGCAGTGAATACCGACTTTTTTGAAGAGTCTCCATCTGGACAACATGGCTGACGCATAGATGTTCCTTGATTAACCCTGGACCAGCTTGAGCATTTCATACCCAGTAGGACCAGCAGGTCATCTGAATCACCTCGTAATATTGTAGCCACACATACCCTCAGTCACCGGACATCCATTTGAAAGTTCGTTTAACTGCTGAAAGAAACTCAGTACGATGTGTTGCCCCAAAATCTTGAACTTATATGTGGGTATGTTTTAAAATGGCGCGCCCTTTTTGGTTCCAGAAATGTCCCTTTAAAATATCGAAAAGGGCGCGCCCTTTTTGGTTCCAGAAATTAATATATCAAAAAGGGCGCCTCATTTTGAAACATCCCCACACACAAAGAAAACTAAAAGATATAAATACTTGAAATCAACTGAGGTCGTTTCGCAAAGCCGGCTGGAGTAAGAATATCATAGTAATTGTTCCCACTTCCTCGGGTGCCCTCTGGTTCTGTGAAGAAATTTATGTCCAGCTTGGCCGAAGGATAACCAGCCATTTTGTGGGCGCGTGTTGCTTCAGCCCGCCCTGCAAAGAATTCTATCCACTTGAGATCCTGACAGGTGGCATCGGTGCGAAGGACCACAAGGACCAAAAACACCAGACAAAATGAAGGCCAGGGGGAACCTTAGCATGTTGTGATGTGTTGAATGATTGGGATATATTGATACATGATTTATATAAGTTCAAAAAGAAAACAAGTAAGTGGGAAATCTTGGAATGACTCAGATGGGTCTTCAAACCTGATTTTGGGATCAAATGTTGAAAGGAGGTGGCAGTTGTTGTGCCTCTGAAATTCTTCCTTCAGTAGTGCAAGCGACGAGCAACACCGTGAGCACAAAGTCCTTTGGGGCATATCAATGCATATCAGGGTTTGTATCTTTCAATCATGGGGAGCTTCAAATGAGAGAATGGAATCAACCACCAATGTCTCAGGGGCTGGCAGGGGGTGCTTGAAGTGCACACAGCCCACAGATCACCGATGCCAATGTTTTGGCCATGGCTGGAAAAGAGGGATGACAAGGCTAAGGTTTAAATCCTGTACCATGATAAATATGTATGGACATTGGCACTGCCCTCAAATCAGCTAAGTGGAAAGCAGTTATATGCATAACATTTCATACTGAAATCACGCGAGACTTGTTGCATCCCTTGAACCGACTGTTCAGTTCAGTCACTATAAGACAAGATAGAGCCACGGTGTTCAAATTTTGGGTCCCACTGCTTAGAAAACAACGCAGGGCAAATCTCTAAAACGCGCAATTGGGCCAGGCTGACAGGACGATCTTTTGAGAAGACCTCGTTTGGCAGCCCAGCACCTCCCTTGGACCTTGACAATGGGCAAATGTGGTCATCGCTTCCAACCTCAGCAGGGCCACCCTTTGATGGAATACCGGGTGCCAAATTCATATCAGGAAGGGATGGAAGGTATGGGTATTGAAATCGTTCTTCTTTGCTCACATGATATGAGAATAGCCGGGAATTCCATTGAACAGAGTCTCATCTTACTTGCAGGTATCACCAGAGAATCCACATCACTCGATTTATTCTTGGGTTATAAATGTGCGTTGTCACAACTATGGAGGGTAAAATGAATCTTGTCATGGCAGTCAGCAGTTTTTCTTGGCACACGGATGTCGACTGCATGGTCCACAGCACACTCCTTTAGTGTACTGTTCACGCTTGATAGCCAACCTAACCATGCACAAGCTTTCAGCCATACCACATGATATTTAATGTAATTTCGAATGGTGTGGTGCCTTCCAACTCTTGAACCTAAGTTTGCCCCTTCAAGCGAAATCTAATGCGAGACTGGCCTATTGAAGCAAGAACAATTTTTGAGAACCATTGGGAATCTATATTATAGTCTATAAGTATAAGTGTTAATATATGATGTTAATATTATCAGAAGACTATATTGTTAATTGGTGTTGGTGGCAATAATTTGAAGGGATACATTTGGGCCACCCAGTCTCACATAGCAGCTTGATACCCCGTGCAGCAACAAAGCTGCCTCAGGAAGTTTGAGTGGGGATGCACCGAATGAATTTACTGTTCAGACTTCAGACTAGAGATTTTCTCAGCTGATAAAATTCTCCCAGGAAGCAGCAAAATCGGTAATCACTACCTGAGCCGTACGAATCACAGCATCGGTGTAGGTGGTAACGGAGTCCGCCCAGGGATTGCATTCTTCTTGCTGATCAAACCATTCGGCCTGAGACAATCTTGAAGGGATCTTGTGTAAAATGATGATCGAATCATATATACCTGGGATACACCTTATTGTCTTGGATTTTGTGTAAAACGATGATCATATATACCTGGACAAAAAACATATATAGTCAAACTCTCATTCAATCATGCGTGCTTTTTTGTAAGTATCAGACGGCTTTGATGGCACAGCGCATGGCCAGCCCAATGTTCAACACATCCTTCATGGGGAAGCTGAAGTGAGCGAACTCTTTGTTCTTCTTGCCATTATTGGGGAACTTGCCTTTGGCAACTAATCCCACCGTAGGCCTGGCCCTGTGCCAATATGGGGAAACAAAGCACTTGTTGAAGGTAGGCAAAGATGGGAAATCCTCTGCTGTCAGCTTATCCTTGCTGCTTTTCCATTGGTGAGTCAACTCCCCCAACATTCCGTGCTTCAAACCATCCAAGATTTTCCCTTCGACCGGGGGCTTGCGGCATACCCGCTTCTTGCTGGCAGGTCCACTTGGCTTTTCGACCTTGGTGCTGCTGCGTTTCAGGACCGCTGGTTCGGGAGACTTGTTGCCGGCAGCTTCCTTCTTAGATTTTTTAGCTCTGGGTTTCTTGCATGCCGGGGGATTGACAGCTTTGTCACCCTTCTGTTCCATGAGGAGGGCTCGTTTCTTTGAAACCTTGACAGTCACCTCCTTTGCCTTTGCAGAACCCGTTTTCTTTGTGGACTTCTTCGCCTTGTTCTTGAGTGTCTTGTTTTTCTTAACCTTCTTTGTAGCCTTTGCTTTTCTTGATCTTTTGGGATTGGTTGGCAGGTATGCTGGGTCACTTGCATCCCCACGTTTCTTCCTTTCCTTTTTTTCTGGCACCCCTACATTGGATGGCTCGTCCCCACCCTCCACCTCCATCTCCTTTGCTGGCACCCCTGGCTTCGGCTTGGATGCTTTGCTGGCAGCACCCTTCCTCCCACGTCCTCGACCTCTACCCCTTCCTCTGCCCTTACCTTTCCCATCTTCATCCCGGCCCTTGGCACTGGCACGCATGTCGAGCTGGCTGCGTCGCTCAAGGACCTCAGAGTAACTTTGAGCTGGCAAGGAAAACTTGACACAATAGAGGGCCACAGCCATATATGTAATTTTAATATATAAAACAAGAGTAGAACAAACACAGTGACATGGCACAACAAATCACGGAAACATCCGCACAACACATATACCCTGTTTCTTTTTTTGAACATAAAAAGAAAATGATACTGGATGTCTCCGGAAAACTTCAGGCTTGGATTCAAATGCCTTTGCGGCTAGGGCTTCTATGTCGTCACCCCCAGGCTGATTGGAGTCACGGGTATCATCGGCTGAGTCAATCTTGGGAGAATCGGTACTGGGAACAGTGGGGGCATGTGGCATGACCGCAGGATCCTCGGCTGAAACAGTAGTAAGGTGATTGGAAAGATCATCACCATCCCCTGAATCTCATGAACCACCATCCCCACCACAAGGGCTTGATGCCATTGCAAGACCAACCGGGACATTCAAGGTATGAGGCAAGGTCTCCATGTTGTCGTCGCCAAAGGGAAGGGTACCCTCCATCACCATCACCGGGCCTTCAGAGACAAGTTGTGACTGGAAGGGGGGCCATGTCATCATCATGACATCAGGCTGAACAAGTCGGGTAAACGTGCGAGTGGGAAGGGTTTGCAAATCTGGGGTAACAACAATAATATAGACCAAGCGTTTCTTTTTTGAAAACAATTTTCCATCATGTCATGTCCACCTATCACATTTTTTGAAACGTCCCCTCCCCCAACTTTCTGCCTTCTGAAGCAGCAGCTTGGACAGATAGCTTAGAGCTCTGACGCCTCCAGCCAGGCATTGCCCCCATCGGTGAAACCAACCATGGACAACATGAAAGAAAACCAAACAGATAGAATTGCTGAAAGTAAGTTGGATTCCGACAAGCAAAGCAATCCTGACCCAACTGCATGTTTAAGCTCAACAGGCAAACAAGGAACGTTATACATTTTGTGGGAAACCATGCTGAGGAGAAAGTGAAACATATGCATATTTCATTCCACAAGGAACAGTTGAAAACCCAAAGTCCTCAACTGGTACACTAGTTGATTTGTTTGTGATGTGGTGTGGGAAGCGTTGCCCAAAACCATGTTATCATTGCCCGAAGCCTGAGAAGCTCAGATTGAATGCGTTCAATCTCCGCAAGTAGATCATCTTTGGAACGAGGCAGCGGAGGTGATGCACCTAAGGATTCGGGAAAAAAAACTCAAAAACAAAGTGCACGCCTTTGATTGCAACATGTAAGGTATAGTTTTTTTGCATGATGAACTGAGAATACATTAAGAACACTTGGAAACTATGAAGCTATAGTGAAATTAATTGGACAAGAAACTGCTTGGCATCTCGCCATCAGAATCGGAATGCAGCTCAACAACAGCCAATCGACGCAAAGGACGAGCACTGTCCAAAACTCGAGGGTCTGGGCCAGACGGACCTTCACCAGGAAAATCTGAGGCACAAGGTTCAGCGGAATCTGCCAGGCTGGCAGGACAAGGAGCAAAGATAGGGGTGTCAGCTAGGATCATCCTTTCACTTTCCACAGGTGGATGTGCGGCCTCTGGGCCCTCTCCAACTGTCTCGTTTTCCTCCCCCAAAACACGTGGCTCCTCAGGTGAATCTGGCTCAACATGAACCTCAACTGGGTTTCGGCCCAACCCGTCCTCCCCTTCTCCTGAAACCAAAGTGGAAACAGGGGCACTGGTTTGGCTCTCATCACCTTCATCTCCAAGTTCGTCGACACAAAGGTCCTCCATGGCATCGTGGAATGGAAACTGTTCAAAATAGTTCATACAAATTTGACATGAAAAACTCATGCAAAGCTCACATAGATAGTTTCAAAACAAACCCCATGGTGCAGTTCACTTAGCTGCTGCCCCGTGCAAACCCATCTATGTTCCTCTTCTGTTTCCTCTTCCTCCTCTTCCTCGCCCTCATTCTCAACCTCCACCTCAAGACCATCACCACGAAGGGATCGCAGGTGATCTACCTGCTCCTGCCCAGGACGGCTGTTCAAAGTCAAATTATACTATATAGTTCTGCTGTTTATGGGGTAGATAGTAGATATCATGAATGTGGCAAAACAATGGGGCAAAAAAAACAGGTTGCCTGCAACTCCGGGAAATAGATCACGATCAGGTCTTGGAAATTGAAGTCCTTAAAGCACAGTCAGCGAGGAAAGACCGCAACCCATTGGAAGGGGAAATGTTTCACAAAAGAAAGCAGAAAGCTAAACATACACATGTAAACCGCCGGATTGGGTTAAAACCTTTGTTAGTACCTCTTGGCTGAACCATGTGTCCATACTTACTTCTCCACGTCGTCCTTTGCGCTTAATGAAACCACATGCGCTTTTGATGCCCCAACTTTCCCGGTAGAGCTGTTCATCAGCACACTTAAGGTTTCGCATTGCATAGAAGTGTTTCAGCTCCTTCTGCAACTGGCCGATCTCTGGGAGTCTGAGCGTCCTGGGCTAGCATAACTTGCCAATACAAAATGTTAGGATTCTTTGGGGCCTTTTAGTTTATGCACTAGAAATCTGAAAACAACAATGTGTTGTTAAGATGCTAGGGTTCCCCTTGGTGATTTCAAGTGCAGGGCGAAAGATATCATGATGAAGTGATACGGACAACACTGTTGCTTTGAAGACACCAGTTTCCCCACAATTCAAGAGACCCTGGTCTTCCCGGATGCGGGCCCGGACTGCCGTGCTCTCGTCCCAAGCTGCTGCTAAGCCATCCAACTTCTCTACAGCTTTGCGAGGCATAGCAGGCTTTAGGTCAGGTCCTGACCACCTGTGAAACTGAGCCCAAATGGTTCTGGAAGGAAATGTTCTAGTTTCAAGCTGCACTGATTTTGTGGTTTTCTTTTGGGTGCCCCATTCTGTGCAGGACACTATTCAAATGAGTTGCTGCTGACCGATGACTTTGATTCATGCTGGCGACACTGAGAAAAGACAACCGGGGATCCCGGCTGATGAAGAGATTTGGAGGGATGGCAGCAGGCAACACAGGGCGCATGAAGAGAGGATGGATGAATAGAAAACATACATGCTTGTATGAAAACATATATATGCATGTATGCTATGATGCTGAAGCACTTGTGTTTAAGCGCCTTCCAATCAATAAGATCATATAAGATCATATGCATAAGAACGTATATAAGATCAAAAAAGGTCATACAGGATCATAAAAGATTTAAGGACGATATGTAAGTCATATAAGATCATAAGATATAATAAAAGATCGTAAAAACATGATATAGAATCTAAAGATCACAAAATTTTAAATGAGATCATATCATCCTGCCAGTCTTGGACATTCACAGGCCAGCTTGAACCGTTTCCTGGGTCCTGGGCGGCGAGTCTGAAGAACAAACAGGGTTTAAGTTCAAAGTCAGGTTTTTACCCACAAAATCCGTCAAACACAGGTTTTCATATCTTAACCTTGAAAAAGTTGGGGTCTTGGAGTACCAGGTATATAATATAATATATATATATATATACGTGTGTATGTGTCTGAGAATGAGGTATAGCCGACCAGAATGGCAGAGTAATCGCGAACATGATGATCAATTTTTTGAAATTAAGTTTGATTCTCTATGGTAACCCACATCCCTGTTCATTGTCAATCTTGGATACCCTGCAAAAAAAAACGGGTGAGATCTGGTTAGTAGATATTCCGGCAAAAGATTGAAGGATTCAACTACCCATCCAAGGTTGACCTAGTGCTTGACTCAGGTACGACCCCTTCTCACAGGCACTGATTGCTGTGCTGCAACTGATGATATTTGGTTGCAGCATCTCAGCCTCGCGTGGCCAAAGATCATGTGCAAGGGTGAGGTTCCCGGCGTTCCCGGTTGCGGAATCACAAAGTTGACGCACATGACTTGGTTTGGTGTATGGGAGATAACCATACTGTGGATGGAAGAAATCCTGTATCACCTTGGATGGTTGAAACCCTATAAATAATGGAATAAACCACCTACCGGATTCTTCAAAAGAAACAGCCATCCTCCTACATGTTGTCACATCACACCTGATCCCCCCATGCCCCCTTGATCAATGCTGTTGCCCAATGCATGCCGGCATCCGAACCGAAATGGCTGTTTTTTTGGGAGGCCTTTCCAAGTAAAGCGCTGTAACAACATTGAATTGGGCGTAATGAGTGTGACAGGATGGCTGTTTTTTTGAAGAACCCGGTATCAACTGGTGCAGGATTTCTTCCATCCACCGTAGTTAATGGGTTTGGAAACCAAGTTCGAACTGGGGGGCCTCTGTAGATAGAGCTACATCACTTCAGATTCCAAGTCTGGGAATCCAACTTCCCAACCTGAGAAGGGTTATCATCAGGAATGGTAAAAAAGCACATCAAACCAGTTTGCAAATCCAACACCAACAGTATAAATCATCAACCAAACTTTTTGTTGTGAATTAGATTCGTCTATTTTGCTAATATCAATCTGCTAGCAGCTCATGCCCCATGAATCCCCATGATACAACCATCAGTCATCATCTCTGGTTCAAATCCCTTCATTACTCATTTGTTCGTGAATGTGACTATTCAATAAGGGCTGCATCTGGCGCTTTA